CCATCCACGGTACAATATTAAACACATCACTCATATGTAGGTATATCACAGTAACAGAGAGTTTTTATTAATTTTACTTTGTCATGCTGTGTAATTACGATCGTAGTAAATAATGACTATGGAAAAAGCGATTATTTTATTAGTTACCTGATAATATGCTGTTTTCCACTTCTATTAATTTGGTTTCAGAATACTTGGTCCACCAGCCTCGTCTTTGGCAGTCGTCACTCATTATGGTTAAGTTTTGAGAACGAAGAGAAAAAATGAGATATATTTGCTTAAATATATGGGGCGACTTCCAAGTGGCGATGCGAAATATCTAATGGATTTTAATCGAAATTGAAGATGGTTTTATTACATGACTGACAGAAATTTTGGCCTTGATAATTATAGATAACCTAAGAGTATTTTATTGTATATTTGAGAGCATAGATTAAATAAATTTGTTATTATAGTTCAGCGCCACCTAATATCTTACAGCTCACATAGTTTGCAAATATATTTCTGTTTTTACAGGAGTCTGTTTTTAAGTTGTACATTTGAATTACCCAATTCGCGAGTTCAACTACCGATGAGAGCGCTGCGAAACGTCAAATTACTCGTTGTCGAGTGACAGTTGAGATTTGCCAGACTTGTTTATTTATTGGAGTTGATGACATTGGTGAAGGTGCACTTTATATGTGGCGGAGTTCGGCGTTCTTTTTAATTTCCCCTTAAATAAAGCACATTCAAGGAGAAAAAATGCGGATAGTCCATAAATTTCAAAAAAAAACACTTACAAATTAGAAATGTAACAAAATCATAAATAAATTAACGATTTTTGACTTTCCCCTTTTCAGCGTGGACCCTCCATATGTAACACGGTGGTGTGCACGATGATAAAATTTAACGGAATTTTTTCAGTTAATTCTTATGAGCCAAAATTTTTCATCTGATGTCTCGCAGAAACTGTGCAGCCCAGACGCAATCAGCACCTTATATACCGAGTGTCGCAATAAGGATGGTAAGCTGCTGTATCTTGGAAAGTATTTGTTGTAATGTTCGGAAAAAAAAAATCGTTATCAAATTTTTTTTGAACTTGAACTGAACTTGAAAATAATTTGCTGGAAATTATTTTGAAATTTTTTAGATGAGCCCTAGATGACGTAATTGCAAACTGTATTTTAAAAAGTCGATTTTATACAGAAATTGTCCCGATAAGTGACACATCTAGTAAGTTCAGTCAAAAGGTCATAAAAAACCGTACTACTTTTTTTCCTAACTTGTGAAATACAGGCTTTAGCGATTTTGCTATCAATTGAAAGAGCAATAAAAACTCTACATGTGATATAAAAACAATCGTAATCATTTTTGAAAGATCCGATCACGAGAGATTGAAAAAAAATTATTTGTTTTTATTTTGACCGCATCAAAAATAAAAAAAAAACGCATCTACAAATTTTTTGGTTTTACATTTTTACGGTACATTTTTTCCTGTGCTTTCGAATGCGTGTAAAATAACTTGAAGGTAACAGTTGAAATTTTTGTGGAAAACTAAAACAGATAAATGTTTTTTAACAGCTTTCATATCTTTCAAAAATGCTTAAGATTGTTTTTATGCCACATATCGTAGTTTTTATTGCTCTTTCAATTGATCGTAAAAATTTTGAAATTGGTAAATCATTGTCGGAGTTACACGTTTCTTAAGTTTTTAAGAGTTTTGGTTAACTTATTAAGTGGTTTGACTCTCCCCCCCACATTTGACAAGTTAAGAAAAAAGTTTATAAGGAAAGTAGTACGGTTTTCTATGATCTTTTGACTAAACTTACTAGCTGTTTCACTTATAGGGACAATTCCTGTATAAAATTAACTTTTTAAAATACCGGTATTTTTTCCAAAATAATTTCCACCAAATTCTTTTCTTCAAGTTTGTTATGAAAATTTTTTTTCAAACACTCTACAACAAATACTTTCCAGTATACAGCCGCTTACCATCCTTATTGCGGGACCCGGTATATCGCTGCCAACGCTGCTGAACTGGATTTTTGGCAATATTCAGCTCCAAAGTTTTATGACAACCTTTAATATCAGTCGGATTAGGGAGTTTTGTTTTAGAACTTTGTTCTAGCTCAATGGTTCCGACAGTGTTGATTCTGGCCAAGAATGTGGGAATATGGATACGTTGATTTAGTAGTCCTATATTCCAATACAATCACATTCGATTCACACACTACAGGGTTTAAGTGTATAATTTAAAGATGTGCCTTGTAGTTAGGTTAATCAGCAAAATAAACAAAAATCTTATTCCGGAAAGATAAATTTATTGATGTTTTCTTAACCTTACCATTGCGTAAAATAAATACAAAAGTTGACGAAAATACATATAATCCTATAAAAACGTCGGATTACAAATATTGCAAATATTTTTATCGTAAAGTATTTTTTCAAATATATTAATTATATACTTATAATTAGTAACACATATTCGCTTTCAAAAATACAGATTGGTTTGAATTGAAATGTACAATGCGGTAAAGAATAGCGTGTAAAACAGACGAGATTAGATATACCAAACCAATAACTGACAAGTCAATTTACTTAATGGTAATCGAAATATTTGTCTTAGTTGTTTTTCCTCTTAATGGATTGAATTTTCGATGCAACAATTTAACCATTATTTTTTGCTCATTTTATCTTTGTATTTTTACTTACAATCTAAGTTACAAAAATGATGGATGGAATAAGTTTTCCCATTCGCACAATAATCCAATGAATCAAACGCAGTAAAGGCATTTCTTGGTTTTTGAAAAAGGAATTTGCAGTAGCAAAAATAGCATATATTTGAGCACTTACGACTATAGAAAGACCAAAGAGCAACAGCCCAGCAAATCGTGTAAAATCTTGACGTTGCAATGTAACGGAATATATACAATGCACCGTATTTACTGCCCTTTGGCTAATTACCCCGCCCCTGCTAATAAATATTACAACAACTTTTTTCAGATGTAGAAAAATAGACTAGATTGAAAAAAGTCCATCTCGCACATCTATCTGGTTCGGAAGGGTTCAAAGGGCTTTGGTAATTGTCCTTATACAATAATACGCCTATATAGGTACTAAATAAATATTTCAAACATTAACACTAGATGACACTTCGAATGGTTTGTTTTTACTAGTTAACTTTTTGGCTTGATCAGTGACAGAAAACGTAGCGCAATGGAAATTGCCGATGCTGGTTATTACTGATTGATTGTCGTATGGTAATTTACAAGAGTGATAAGTAACACAGCCACTAAGTATATTAAATGGCTAAGGCTAAACTACATTCGAAACACTTGTGATAGCAATCTATCACAATATTGAGTGATTATTCACCTAGCAGTAGTAAAAAACAGACCTTAACAGTACAAATGTTTAGCAAAATATTTTAAAAAATGGTATACTGTATCAAAAACTGAGCCTTTTAGTCTCAACAACAAACAACGGTAATTGGCATCAAATACGACAAAATTTCGATTTTCACATAGCTTTCACAATATCCCCATTCAATTGAGCAAGTAAAGTACGGTACCCATATTACACTTTCATAGGTTTGAAAAAATAATTTTATTAATTCATAAGACAATTTGGATCGCAGCATTGAAGTAGGACTTTGGCAAAACCATGTGAAAATCTATCACATAAGTTCTCCTCTATTATAAACTAACAAGCTTGGGTGGTAACTGAGAATCTGGTGAGTTTAAATCGGCGACACTGACGGGTATATTTCGTTGCTGCGTGCTGCAGGAAGGTGGGAGGGGCCCACTAACTGGAGTTAAGCCGGTACCCCCTCCCATTAGAGATTCAAAATTGAACATCATTCCTTGAGAGGGAGTGGTTATGGAAATACCGGCTAATTCGTTGTTTTTCGTAATCGACGGCGCAGTCACTGATACGTTGAGACTACTCGGTCTTAAGGGTTTTGGGGGGAAGGGAACTGCTTGACTCAGCATTAACTGGAAATAAAATATACTGTTAGCAGATATTATGTAAATTCGCTGAAGTAATTTATCGGCATCACAATACAGGGCTATTTTTCTTTAAAATGGAACTGATGCTATACGGCAAATAAAAACATAAAGTAAATTATACTGCTTATATAAGGTGTTTCATAATATAAAGAGTGTCCTAAAATTAACGCAAGATTTGAATTTAATAGAAAACACACTTTTTAGTCTTCAGATTGCGATTTTTTATTGAATCAGAAAATACATAGGATAGGGTTATTTATAGAACGGAACGGATCGGAGAAGCCATCACATCTTTGCTTCCACACTTGCTTGATCCACAGCTTTGCTGGCACATACGCACTCTTTTATCGAAATTCTCCTTTTTTGCGTAAATGTGGCTGAATTTCGCTGATGCAGTGTTTAATTTCCTCCTGCAATGCACGGGTCGTTGTGGGCTTGTTGACATAAACCTTTGACTTCAAATGACTCCATAAAAACAAAGCTCTTCTTCTTAAGTGCCTTCTCCATTCAATGAACATCGGCAACAATTCTGGCAAACTCGTCTCTGTCTTGGGATCTTTTTAACAGAGAATTTGAATCTAAACCTGTCCAACCCCTTATGTTCTTCAACCAAGAGCACGTTTTCCTCAATCTTTCATTCCATAATCAGTTGCAGGAAATTGTACTTTGGTCATTGTTCATTCTATGTAAAACCTCTTGATTGGTGGTATGATCGGTCCATGGAATGCGCAGCATTCTGCGGTACACCCACATCTCAAATGCTTCCAGCTTTTTAATGCTGCTGACTTTTAGCGCCTCGGCCCCGACTCCATATAGTTACGTGCAATACACATAACATCTAACGAAGTTAAATTTTATGTTTAAATTGGGTGTTCGTGTGATCTCTATCGGTTAACAGGCTTCGCATTTTAATAAAATTGGCTCTAGCTTGCTCTATGTAGCATCTGATTTCTATCTCTGGAATCAGTTCCTCGCTGATCCAACCTTCTATGTATTTAAAGTTTGTGATTTTCTCTATTGGTAAACCGTTCACCATTTTTTCAACAGGGCAGACAGTGTGAGCCCACTCTAGTGCCCATTTCTTCACGGATTTGTACTTCGCTGGCATCTTGTTCGCATTTTCTACGTATGCGCCTATGAATCATTTTCAAGAACACCTTTAACATCTGGCTCATTAGGCTGATCAATCGGAACTCTGCGTCCTTCGGTGCTCCGCTCTTTGTTAGGTAGTGGTATGAAGGTTGATTTCAGCCAAGCAGGAGGGATGTAACCTGAGGTACAGATATCATTAAATAATTGTACCAAAATGTGTATGTTTTCCTCCTCTATAAGTTTTAAAATATCTGGACAGATGTCATCTGGGCCGGCTGCTCTTCTAGCTTTTATCTCTCTTAGTGCTTTTTGAACCTCAGAGTGAAGTATTCCCGGTGTCGGCTCAGTGGAATCTTGACTGCGAAAAGGTGGGCTATTGCTTTCGAATGTATTAGCTACATATTTTGCTTATACCTTCCTAAGCGCCATCGTCTGTGATTTGTTTGTTGTCTTGGTTAAGTACATGGGGTAGAGACTGGGTATTTTCGACTACCTGTAATTTCCTTGACTCTCTTATCTAGGTTGAAGAGCTCGTGTTTTTTTATATAGTTCTTCTACTTCTTGGCACCTTTCTTTCATCCATGTTTCCTTTGCTGGTGAGTTTTTGGGTTTCCCTATATTCCTCTGCGTTTGTGTTTTTAAAGCTACGTCTCCGTTTCATTAAAATGAATATATCCTGAGTCATCTAGTCCTTGTGCGGTTTCGTTTTGTTTGTTGATACTAGCGACTTTCGTGCGATTAATACAGCATTCTTAAATAAATTCTAAGTGCCTTCGATATTGTCAGGGCTCTCGTTAGAGGAACTGACTTCGTTCTTTTGTAGGACATTTTCGAGCTCGTTGTGCAGTTTGTCAGTGATTATTTGGCGTTAGGGCTCGCTCTATATTATGGGTCTTTCCTGGCATGTACATGCTGTTAACATTCAAGTGCCAATCTTAAGTATTTCCTTTAATTTTGTTTTTGCCTCAAGAAGTAAAAAAATACTTACCGTACTGAACAGTGTCTGATGGTTTAAAAGCAAGAAATCCATTTTGTCCACAAACAACATTAAAACTTGTCGGGAGAATGTAACGTATTGAATATTTGTTGATGAACGTATGACGTTTTAATTTGTCATTCTGGACTGCTGTCAACGTTTTAATTGTTGTCAAAACTGACATATTTAAAAATATACAAATTTTTCTTTCGTTTTTAGTAAGTTATTACGGTCTTAGGTGAAGTATGGTACATAATTCGAGTTGTAACACATTTACGTACTCAAGGAATTACGACTTTTCCATTCGTACGTAAAGTGCTCCTTACAACTCTAATTATGTAATATCCTATTACAGATATTCTGCAATAATGAAAATACGTTGTTCTATCGTGTAACGCTCCATTTTTACTAACCCTAATCTTTCAGCTCCCAATAATAATTTTTTTTTGAATGGCCAATACTTTACCGTACAAATGGCGGCAAATTCAAATATTGCGTTAATTTTGCGACACTCTTTACTACAGACTTTTAGTGATGATAGCAGACATCAAACAATCGCATTTTGTTTTATAAACAAATGTCCACTTACAAATAGTTTTCTCGATGAAGATGATAAAATTTGAAAAATCGCTTTTTTACAAAAATTCAAGACATGTTTCAGACGATTTCTATTAAATGTTCCCAATTGTTGCTAACCAAATTAGGCATGTTTTAAAACAATTTTATTTGATGCAGCATTTCTAGAAGCGATTCCTGAGGCAACTGATTAGTTTAGTGCTTAAAAAAAATACTGGCTATATTTTTACAATTTTGTTAAGTTTGTATAGAAAAACATCTAAAAAAACATTTTACTTGAAAATTTTCCGTATCAGGCTTCGTTTTCTAGCAAAGATCCATAGAAAAAATAAGTATTGAAGTAAGTGATTTCTTTCAAGTTTGCAATAATTGCTAACGAAAATTAATACTTGCTTCAATACACATGTGCGCATTTTTAATAAAATTTGTCATAAAAATTTATTAATTGTGAGTATGCAATAAACTAACCAGTTGCCCTATAAGCGCTTTCCGCAAAATACTGTATTAATTGCACCCAACTACCAGAGTTCCATAAAAATCGTCTAAAGCGTGTTTAAATATTGATAAAGAACGATTTTTTGTGTTTCAACAATCCTAAGAGGCATTTTATGGAACAACAGATTATTTTTCTATTTAAAACACTGAAAACACTAACCTTTTTAGTGGAAGCAGGCGACATAAATACATCATTATCAAAATGGTCATCTATTTCTGCTTTAAGACCTCGATCCAATGCTTTACCATAGTATGTGGTCATGTGGTCAAACGGTTTAATATCTGGCGGACTAGACGTTTTTTTGCGGCACGCAGAAGATGCTGAATGAGTGTCAATTAGATTTTCCAGATGATGTTTCATTCGTTTCAAATCCATTTGCTCTTCTATTAACTTCTGGCGTTTTTGTTCAAGCTCTTCTACTTCCTGTGAAATACAACATCAAATATTAGAGCATTATCTAAAGGTTTTTGTACAAATAGTATAAAATAAACAAAATCTGCTCGTGACTCATATAAACCATCAAAAAATTTATTTAATATGATTTGCTTGTAACGGAAATCGAAGTCGTCGAATTCAGAAATGTACGGCAGTGTATCTCAACAGTAATCCTCCGGAGTTGCTTAATTACAATTGGGTAATGCGAACTTGGTAAAAAATAATCAAAACGAACGAGTTCTTACATTCGAGAAATACTTTTCTATATCTCTCTAAGCCAATTTTTCGTAGAATTTTAAAACAATCAACACGAATATGTGACTCTCCAATTATATGTTACAAATATCTGCAAATCACATTTCACGAACGTGATTTTAATGCCTTACAAGTAGTGAAGTATATATAAGTATGCATTCACTAGAAAACACTTTCATAATAATATAATTCAAAGCCGTTCCTGCTTATTTAATTAATGTGAACATGTAGATAATATGATGGTAAATTTCGATGCCTTACCTTAATAAGGGAATTCGTATGATCAACCCTCCTCTTTCTACATCTTGCTGCGGCCGCTTTGTTTCTTTCCCTTCGTACTCTCCTTCTTTCCTCTTCTTCTGGAGAAATGCTTGTATCTTTTATGGGTTTCCTAATAAAAAAAAAGTGCTACAAACCGATTTCTTTTGAAACATAATATTGAAAAACTTTGTTTATTGAAATACTATGGATAATATCGTAACGAAAAAGAAAATAAATTATTAATTTACATACCTCCCGCCCATATTCCGTCTGGTAGTTCCTTGCGCCGTGTTGCTAAAGCTAGTTCTCTGATTGAGAGGAGGTGTCGATCTAGTGTTTGAGTCTGAGCTGGATTGAGAAAGACTACTCTGCCAAATCGAAGGCGATTTGGGAGGTATGTTCGCGTAGAAATCCGTGGCGTCGGATGCTGATACGTACTGGTTATTTCCTTCAAAAGAAAACGAACTTTATGAACTTTTTATCATCCATTTTGTTTCTTAAAACTAAACCATTTTGGGGTGGCGCTTAAACGTTTGTGCAGTGGCTTCTTTCCAGATGACTCGATTTAAAATTGGACGAGTTATATTAAAATATAACAAAAAATGTTACATTTTCGATCAAATTTCAGTAGTTCTTGCACACATCTTGCAAATACTTTGGAAGACATGAAACATTATAAATACGCACATCTTCAATATTTAAACGTGATTAAATTTTGCAAATATCTGTAATATGTTGACTCACCAATAGGATGCACGAGGGGCGGAACAAATCCGGCCTCGTTTTCGTGCGGTTCGGGTTTAGATTGCAACTCAATAAAAGTCTGCTCAATATTCCTGAGAGTGGTTGGTGTAAGCGTAGGCGTAGTCCTGGTTGGTACTCCTGAATTTAGTCCTTCTAGGGCTATGAACTGTAAAAAACACATTTAATTTACTTACAAGTCCACAATAGATACAAAAAATTGCGAGTACAAACAAAGTTTGAAAAGAGGTTGTAAACATTCCCTACTATACAGCGATATTCGTTTGAATTAAATATTTAACATAAACATTAGGCTTATTGCATTCAGACAAGCACTCAAACTGGAGGAACCTTGCATAGTTTTAGCAGAGTTGGAAGAACTCAGACGATCACGGTTAATTTATTGCCATCCTCCATGCGGGTTCAAACTTCCGACTGCAAAATAATTTTTTAACAGTACAAAGATGCCACACATGGATACCCGAAGAATCTGGAATCAACCTGGTTCTCTAATTCCAAGCTTCTTTTCAATAATTAGAAAGTTCAGGCGTGGTTTTTTACTAGCGAAGTCTAAATCAAATCAGTACTAGCAGAAAAAGTGCAGTGAAGCAAGTATCTGTGCGAGTTTAATTCAACAGGTGCGTTAGTGTTACAGACTAGTCTTGTCGACGTTCTCAGATATTGGCTGAATATCCATAATAATGTTAATGACTGAGTCTGTCTCACAGATGATTTGATTTAAAGTTTCAAGAACAAATTCAACTCGAAAAGTTACCAGATTTGTCTGATTGTATTAAACCGATATAACGATATATAAATAAGTATAGATTGCCATATTCGGACCATGATAAATAAATTAGAGTAGAGAGTCCTTCCTGATGAAGTTCTTGATCTTCCGCTTTGATATTCTCACTCCAACCTCAGGAATACTGGTGGGAAAGGGTACTTCTGCAGCGGAAGTCTAGCTTGTATTGAACTTTTGTTTCTACATTAGTTGCCGATGTATTATCTAGATCGACCACCGCAAAATGGCTAACAGAATAAACCGGTTACTTCGAATTATAATTTCGGGTCATTTCGGATAATATCTAGAATAAAACAGAGCGCTAACCTCAGGCACCCCCAGGACCGGTTTCGAGCCTCTTAGCTCTGATCAGCTGGGTTCGACTTGAAATTAGCGAATCCGAAACCGATCCTGGGGGTGCCTGAGGTTAGCGCACCTCGAAATCTGCACTTGCCTATTTGAACAGATCATGACGGCTCTGCTGATGCCAAAAGCTTTTCATTGTTCAGAATAAACCTTGTTTTACATTATGTAAGTTTATAATATGTAAAAGTAGATCATCTGTGCCTGCACCCGTCAATTAAACGCGATATACTTCTTTTTACGTTAGCAAAGGTACTAACTCAATACCAATCAACCAACAAGATGCAGCAACTAGTAGTAGTCGTATCAAGTAATCCTGAAGATTTATATTAATGTTATCTGCTCGGCTCAAAAATTATGGAAGATATGAAATTTTCTTGTATACATTTATTATCGAAGAAACAGAAATTATCATGCGATTGCTTAATTTTTTAGGAAATATTTTAGAGCATCTTTGGAAGGTGCGCAAACTTTATGCTGCAAACTCGGATGCATCGGCATTTTTTATAGACCGTAAAGCGCGATAGGCACCAAATTTCGAGTCATTTGAACAGATTCATTTGGTGAATTACTGTGTTGCTTACTTGCAATCAGACACACTTAACGTTCGGATGACCAAAAAAATGTTTAAAATTTATCTGGACTATTTTTCTGCTTTTGTTTTCTTAATATTAATTAGGTCAATACCTTGTAATGTAACCAATTAACACCAGTTCCCAGCTCGTGGCATCAGTTCTATACGTTTTATTATTAATTATCCATTGAACTTGTATTAAATACATTTATTGTAATTCTATATATTTGTTGTCTCATGTTTTTTCTACTAGTTCTATGTATTTGCTTTATTATTCTATTTCTATGCACAATGCTGTACATTCTGCTTCTGTTATCTTTCTGTTATCTGTTATCTTCTGTACAAATATTTGTTCTTCGACTGGAAATTTTCTGCGCGATATTTTTTAACCATCCACTTATTTCCTTCATTTTAAATTTTATTTCACGGTTTATTTCTGCATACAACTGTCGCGCAGTGTATGCAATAAATGCGTGTTCTTTAACACGTTTGTATTGTTTTAATTATTTTAATAGTATAACTCAACAACTCATTATACTATCCTTAGGGTACAGTTTTGTTAAATATGTCTAAAATATACGTTTTGTATCAAGTCTTTGTCATACTCACTCACAGTTGTTGTCATACTCACTCACGGCATAAAATGTCATTTCATTGTCACAAACTGCCCTGATTATTACGTGGATGTGACGTGATGAATTTCGTGATATCGCCGTTTATTACAACGTCTGCTCACGTGATTATCATCACGTTGGGTGCATATTATGTATATGTATAGCTTATAGTAGCTTTTCATCATTTTATTGAAAATAAGTCCTACTTCACCGATCTACTTTATGGCAAACCTAAACATACTTAACCAAATAAGTTTGTGTTCGTGATGACTTATACATATCTACATTGCCTGACAGTTATGGTGGGTTCATACACGAGAAGAAAAGTCTTAAGACATAAGAATAACGCTTTAGCCATAACGCCACTTGAGCAGTTTTTATCAATAAGAATAAGGAATAATATAATATTGTGTTATGTACAGCCAATCAAATTGAAGAATAGGTTTAAGAAAAAATAGAGTTGTCTCTGTTTATGTCAACATTATAGTGGTAACATATTAATTGTTCACTAACGAAGTTGTAGCTCTTTTTTTCTTGTTTAATAATTTAGTTCATCTGACCTTACTACAAAAGGTAAATAAGAGTTTTGGCCGTCACTTGAGATATTGGAATGTCAATTATCTTTCAAACTGCGCATGCTTCATTAGAATAACGCCTAACGCACAACGCTAAAGTTAAAATTTGACAACTTTATTAAGCCTTATTCCTTAAGCGTTAGGCACTATTCGGTTTGTAAACACATTTATGCACTGACGTGTAATTAACTTTTGACACTCCTTAATCCTTATTCCATATTCTCTCTCGCTCATATAATGCTGGGTGTATAAACCCAGCATTATGGGGAATTTTATTATGATCAAAACGTAGCGATAATGATAATAAGTTATACTAACAGTGCCTAGTCTTCTCGAAAGCAATATTATGTTGATTGATTAGGTATAAAAAGTTATGCCACTAAATTATTAAATTATTCTGACAGCAATTAAGCGAGCAGTTTACATTTTCTAGGGCATTTGGTTTTGTAAGGAAATATCAGGGGCAATGCAATTTAACATACAAAATGAGCAGACAATGTAATTGTTACTAGGAAAATTGATAGCTAAAACACGTCTCTTAATAGCCTATCTATAATATAAGTACCGGGAATCCCGGCCCTAATTACGCAGTCGCTTTCGACCTTTGTCACTGTTTTGGAGTCGCATCTTTCTTCTGCGATATGTTACTTAAATTACTAAAGTTCTGCAAATTGATTCATGTTAATCACCTGCCTACACTGTAAGATAATACTCAGCGCACCTACCAGTCTGTACCACCACCACGTGTATTAAGTAGCAGTTTATTCATTTAATTGCCTACTGTAGATGGTTAAATTAAGCAACTATTTAGTAAGACTGAAAGTTTAGATCGAATCGAAATTTCGTATACAAAAGTAACTTTTACAACTTTTATAGTCAGATTGTTTTTCTCATATACATATATGTACCTGCGACTAAGCATGTAGCGTATCTTACTAGGACTGTTAGTATCAGCGAAAATGAATATAAAAGCGAACTAATAACACGTTCATTTATTAAATCGGCGACTAATTGTTTATGTACTTAACCAGTTGCAAATCGTGATATTGTATTTCATTACAAAGAATTGTTAGCAATTCCTCTCCATGAAGGCAATTAAATAAATCATCTTTATCAAGACCTGGTGAAAGAATTAATGGCTACTTACATATTTTATAATACGCATTTACGTAAGGATTACTTAAATAGGGTGTGAATATAATTGTTCGTTATACATATGCTTGCAAAGCACATCTAACATCATCGATGATCGTCGTCTCAGAATAGTGGATTATTCGTATTAGATAAATTCGAAGGATGTCGCATACACAATTGTACAAAGTAATCCAAATTAAGTGTTCATCATCGCTAATTTTGATGTTATTAAGGATACAAAATAGTTTATATTAGCAAACTAGTAGTATTGTTGTCGCTTATCAAGATTGTTAACGTAAAAGCGACTTGAGTGTCCGATTTTCCAGTTTTTCAGTATAATACATGTTTAATGTACATCCCTGTATATTATAGGTATATGCATTCCATTTTAATTTTACATAAATAAAATGTAACAATAATTTTTGGAATTAAAGTTAATGAACACCAAAAAGAACATTTAACAAGTTTTCTTTTTTCCAACAATAATTTTTTTAAACTTAAGAAAACATTAAATAGAAATGTTTTAGGAAATTGAAACAACAAAACAACTGAAAATAAGCTGGTATAATGGTCACTAATTTTGAGAGATTTGTCGTCCTATTCTGAGTGTCTGTAAGGCAATAAATAAACAAATGTCACTCAACAGAAAAATGTCCTTATAATTAATTGATATTAACTAATGAGAAACTCTACTGGTACATACAGAAATTTCGGTTTCTATGTAGATCTATGTAAAATCACCCTGTATATGCAGATGCAGTTTCCAAATATTTATCAAACTGTTATACTATAGGCATCAAATTGAACTGCAATCAACTGTAATCAGTATTTTCATTTAGTGTCCTCATACGTCCCACGTTTACCTCATATTTACTTCTAAAAATAACGCTGATCTGGCAAAAATTGGTTGGGTGTAAACTCGCAAACGAGGTTTACAGCATATAGTAAACTTTTATGTTTGTTTTCTTTAAATTTAGCAAGTGGTACACGTTAAAATAAGTGTTTTTAACCTACGCGGAAAAATTGTTTGGTTGGTGCCGCCAAATTTTATTAGTTTTACTCTATAATTCAGTGGTGTACCTGAACAAGAATTGGTCTGTTTGCATGAGAAATCTAAAATAATGATAATATTCAGCTTGTAATACATGCTAATTATTCTTGTAACATGCAAAATGCACGATTTGAGTGAATTAATTGTGCAAAATGGTTCATAAATAAAAGGAAATATTTTGAAAATGTAACGCTAAGTTAAGTTAATGGATGTAATTAGTAGAGTTTATTGCAGAAATTCGGGCGAAAACCATTTTCAGTTTCTAAAACGCAAATAAATAGCTTTTGTTTCTTTAAATAACGTTCTTACTATATTTTCCAACATCCTGTACACGCAACACTTTAAAACACAACATGATTTGCGGTAGGAAACAATTCATAAGAGCTGTTTTAAGAAATATTACTTCATGATCCGAAGTGACGCAATTATATTAATTTACAGTATAATGAAAAATATTAAAATCGAAGTACAGTAGACTAATCAAAAAAATCATAATGTTCTAGTTACTCTATTTTTGAAGAATCAAGATTTCGTAAGATAACATGTAACTTTTTTTGGTTGGGACTTCTTTTATTAAATTACCAGTTGCGGAAATGGAGATGGTCGGTTGTATATCACAGCATTACTCAAAAAATTGTGATTAGATGCAAAATTTTTCATCAATTATCATAAACCCTAATAGTAAAGTAAAGTAATAAATTCTATTTGATTGTATTTATTCAATATTTCAGTAAGTTCCACGAAGTATGCTGCCAATTAAGATTCAATATTTTTTTGCTTTGGACTTATTAAAATTAAGTTTTTAAACCACGTACTTACATGAAGAGGTAAACAGATTTTTCCAAGAGAAGTAAACGTATTGTAACGGAAATGGCCTGGGGTACCCATTTACTATTTTTAGGGATCAAAATTCGTGGTATTTCAGTAAATGTCAGTAAATGACAGGAGCGACCGGGTGCAGGTGAAACCCCGCGAGTTGGAAGAGCGAGTTTTC